CTCTCTCTCTCTCTCTCTCTCTCTCTCTTTCCTCTTTCGTGGAGGAAGTGCATGAATAGAGTACGGCATTGAAATTACGACCGGTAATTTCTAACTCAAATAGTTGAAGGATTTAACCATGGTTAGCGACCATGGTGTTTGCCGGGTAATGGAATTTCCTAATGATAATTAAATATCGGTCAGGATCTTTTCATCTCGATCTGAAGATTATCCAATTGACGCTCCTTATGCGTGGGCGATTCATCACGATTCATCACGATTGTATGCATATTTGTTTGGCATTTTTCTGATATTTTCACGACTCGCAATCGGTAAGAAAAAGCAACGTTCTTCTCGATGCGATAGTTCTTCGAGGCGAAGAAAATATTTCCTAGAATATTATTACATTTTTAGACTTCCACACTTTGACATTTGATCTTTTGTATTGATTCACATCTATTCCCCAAAATGAAATCGAATCTTAAGATCGAAAGTTAACATGCTTGATTCGACCAATAATCAAATATTTTTCTCCACTCTCCTGCACTCTCACCTCCAAACAGATCGTACGCGATAATACCAGGTTTGAAATCACCTCTCTTAAAAGTTTTGCGAAGCTCGGACAAGCGCTTAATTAAGCGAATAACATATATCATGTTAACGCCTAACGCTCAACCCAACTTGCCCCCCTCCAACATCTCGTTTCGCGTGGAGGAACCGAGCCAACAAGGCCCCCTTGTAACGCACACCTATACACGTTCAGAGACGTGTATAGAGATAGAGCCTGAGCTGCTTTTCACCGGCTTTCTCATATGTGAGCCACAGAACCAGAGGCTCTTCCTCCTTCCTTCAAAGATGCCTCTCTCCCAACCATTCTCCATTCTCCTCTCTACCGACATCGCACACCTTAACGTGTACTTACATCGCTGCACATTTGCCGGCTAACTAATAGACGGCCTCCCCCCTTCCCTTTCTGCCTCCTCCTTTGCTCCTTCATTCGTGCACCACCTCCTACACACGAACGGCTACCGAACGCGCATCCCGTAACGAAGATATCCTGGAATTACATAGCTCGGCTTGTGTACCGCGCCCTCGGGCGGTCCGCGACCGAGATATCGCACAGAAGGGATCGAACGAGAGCTCCATGTGTCCGTGATGGTATGGCGATTGTCGTGGAATTCTTCTTTGGAATTTGGAAATTTGTTATCTTGAAGAAGAAGAAAGAAATTTAAGAAGAAGTTGAAGAAATGAAAGAGAATTTTGAAACGTTTTCCTTTTCTTTTTTTTTTTTTTTTGTTAGATTCGACGTCTAATTTGAATTCGAGACGTTAGAGAAGGTATTTCTTAAGTTTTCAACAAGTTTCGAACCTGTTCGATCAAGGCTCCATTAGTCACGCGGCTAATTACACGGCGCGTTTTCCGGTCCCTCGTTCAAGATTATCGAACCAGAAGCGAGACGTGTCCTAACTAACTCGACGTTGAACCCCTTCGAGACCACGGGGTCACCCGGTATATAACATACGAGTATAGAACACTTATGCTTTAATTAAAAAGGAGAGAAGGATGGGATTCAATTAGCGTCACGCTTCGCATCGTCTTAAGGAGCTTGCTCGCCTGGACTACGAGAATGAAAATTCAACGGAGGATAATGGAGAAAGAGCTCTGCGCTACAAATCGCATGGAAAATAATTCTAGTTCCCGCGTTAATCACCAATATTTACGAGGATAAATGGAAAAAAGGAAATAACATCCAAACAAACGGATATTTCATCCTTATCCAAATAACAAACGTTTGAAGTGAATTCGAAAATCCTACGTGTTTCAGTTTACAGCCACGATTAATCCCTTCCTTCCCCTCGGCTCGTTAAGGAAATTCAGCTTAACTGTTATATGCAAATGCGGTGGATGTTAATTGTTTCATTAAGCGCGTACTTGACCCGAATGTCCGAACCGAGGGAGTCCAAAACTCGTCTTCGAAGAGTTGTTTCCTTAAACACGAGAGATCCTCGATTAAGTCGCGGGACCCGTGTTCCACGATTCAATTCGGATCGAAATCGAAAAAGAAGAGGGTGGGGGAGGAGGTTGGTTTGGAAGAGGTCACGATTCGAAACCGTGATGAAAATTATCCAAGAATGAAAGAAGCGGAAGCTGGAGAAGAACGGAACGAGTAATTGGTAAAAGAGATCATCAAGAGGATTTTCTTCCCTGTTTAAAGGGAAATCCAATAACCCTTTTAGGTAGGGAAGATGCATTTTTAATGGATCGCGAGCGGCGAATTGCGCAAATGGTTTCCAAGGGTGGAGAGAAGATTAGTCTGATAGCGTGGAGCTATTCCATGGGACCGGAAACAAGGAGTAAATAAACGCGGCATTAGCCGTTAGTCCCGGCTATAACGGTATTTGTCTAATTAAACGGTCACTTTAAGAAGAGCTTCCATTCACCGAGCTGCTTCATTTCCTTCTTCGTTATGAGAGATTTCCATTTTCTTTTTTCTCTTTTCCTTTTTTCTTTTTTTCTTTTTTCTCTTTTTCTTGCGAAGACTTACGAGGATATCAACCGGAGGATAATAATTTCTTTCGAGGAGCTCTCCTCCTCGATTCTTCTTAAAAGACCAACTTTCCATTCGTTTAATTAATCAAAGCACGCAAATTTCAATAGTGAGAAATATAAACTTCTCGAAAAGTGGGATGATGAAATGAAACGAGAAGCACTTTTAATGCTCCCCTATCCTTGTTCCGTTCTAATGACCCATCTCGAACCGAAAGAAGAATCGTTAGCTTAGAGATGTCCACGGTTTAATTAAGAGGATGTACATCCTTAATGCACGAGATTAAACGTTAAGTTTATCTCTCGGCTTCGAAGAGATTTCTATCTATTTTCTCTCTAACTCGGTT